TGTTAAACATGAGTTCGTACTTAAGCCTGTCGCCCACCGCGGCTTGATAAAATGGCATGTGACCCTCCAGCAACTTGAAGTCGAGTGGGATGCAAAATCGGTTCCCGAACGCCTCGGCGATGGCCACGTGTTTTTTCGCCATCGCGGTGAGTTTGGCTTGGTCAAAACCGTACCCCACGCGCAACCGAATCGAAGGACACTCGGATGGACTTCATGTTTTCCCGTTCGATCGCAGTTCTCCAGAGGTCCGTGTAGCTGAAGAACACGTCGCTGTCGTCGATGCTCAAAATTTCATTTCCGCTGATTTTGATGGTCGTTTTCTTCACGATGGCACGACCCAGGTTCCCCACGATTTCTTGCTTATCATCCTCAGATTCCAACCTAATCTGGAAGGACAGGCGAGCCGTCCCCGGACTGATGACGTCGTTCTAGCCGAGGTTGGGAAAGCGCACCAAAAGCGTTTGTTTTTCATCAATCGTGCTCGGATTGTTGATGATCGTCACGGATTGACGCACGGCTTTGACCGCTAACGGTTCTCTCAATTTTCGGTAAGGATTGAATTTTCGTCCGTATTGCGACAAATATATACTATATGTTCAATAAATAAATAATCATGGCCGACGATATTCCCATGGACGATTTTTTGGGGACGGTAGAACCCAGTTGCTCAACGATGAGGTAACCTCGTTCGTGCAAGGGAACATGGGCGATGATCTGCTAAAAACGACCGTAGATGATTATTACGATGTCCTGGTGTAAAAAGAAAATATAGCTCCTCTTTATCGCGATCCTTCCAAGTTTGAACTCGATCATAAAGGGATACTGCGAGTGAAAGATGCTCCGGGCATCGATCTCATGCACTCCCGTACGAGAAAACCTCTCGCTTTGTCCACCCTAACGCTGTGTTTCGTGTGCCGGCCCGAGAAGGCCAGGTACGACAGCATGTCTCGTTTTTTTACCATGTCCTTGTTGGCACTGCAGTCGTCCAGGAGAAACAGCGTCGACTCCCCTTTCAATTTACCGTGATAAGCGGTCAACCAGTCATGCAGACGCGTTCCAGGATCCACCTTGTGCACGTCCGGGTCCGTCATCACCCATGCTCTCTCCGTGTACGTCTTGTTCACCCGCAACATCGGGCAGAGAATGACGCTGTGATCAAACGCGTCCTGATAGTATCCTTCCAGCAGGTCCAGCACGAAAGCTGTTTTACCGCACCCCGTCTTACCGCACACGATGGCGTAATGCGGATCCAGGGGCAGTTCCATATCAATAGATGGCTTGCATGAATCTTCCATCTTGTATATTAAGCTGCGCATCCAGTCCCCGGACTGATGACGTCGTTCTAGCCGAGGTTGGGAAAGCGCACCAAAAGCGTTTGTTTTTCATCAATCGTGCTCGGATTGTTGATGATCGTCACGGATTGACGCACGGCTTTGACCGCTAACGGTTCTCTCAATTTTCGGTAAGGATTGAATTTTCGTCCGTATTGCGACAAATATATACTATATGTTCAATAAATAAATAATCATGGCCGACGATATTCCCATGGACGATTTTTTGGGGACGGTAGAACCCAGTTGCTCAACGATGAGGTAACCTCGTTCGTGCAAGGGAACATGGGCGATGATCTGCTAAAAACGACCGTAGATGATTATTACGATGTCCTGGTGTAAAAAGAAAATATAGCTCCTCTTTATCGCGATCCTTCCAAGTTTGAACTCGATCATAAAGGGATACTGCGAGTGAAAGATGCTCCGGGCATCGATCTCATGCACTCCCGTACGAGAAAACCTCTCGCTTTGTCCACACTTTGTCCACACTGGCCAGTCACACTAGCCATATAACCAGCTACTGACAAAAAAATCGATCCCCGTTTCACCGGTATGCGTGGGTGGTTGGACTCGACTCACGTTGACATCAGGATTGATGTCCAACTTTTGATCGGCAGTCGCACTGACGATTTCATTGTTGTAGCCAACCACTTTGTGGATGCTCAGTCGCATGTCGCTCGGAGCCATGTACAGTCCCACGCCGAACTCGTAGTCGACTTTCGACAGGGCGTATTCCAACGTGTCCTGGTAATGTCGGAGGGCACTTGGTAAATCCTCCGGTCTGGCGATGGCGTCCTCAACCTTCGACACGAACTGTTTCTGTGCGTCGTAAGCCGTCCCTTGACCCACGATGCCGGAACACGTTTGCGACAGCGCACCAAGCAGCGCCCACACGTACGTTCAAAACAAATCGTTCAGTCTGACAACACCGGGACGAGTAAACCCCTTCGACGTATCCAACATATATACTTTGCAATCGTCTTCAGCGTATTGAGGCTGCTCCACCTTTTGAACGGTGAAAGAAACACCGCCTTTAAAACTCATACGATCATCTCACCATTCATTACTCGACAGAGCAAAGTCCTGTCGGAGGCAACCACTTTTCAGCAAACCATCACTGACTTCTTTCACGGAAATCACTCCACTGTACGGAATGCCTAACCCGTGGTTCGTACCAGATATACACTAATCAGTGTTTGGATCGATTTCGAAATCACCACAAATCCGTTCGTAAGCTCGCCGATCGTATGGATTGTCCGATGCATCCCGTGCCTTGTCCTGCGGCATCGGGGTGCTGATCTCTTTCAGGATGCATCTGATCTGGTTATACACGTGGAATTAGAACACGGACCGACTCACTCGCATCACGACGCGTGTCGTTCAAGGTCACGTCGCAAGGTTGTCGCGCACCACACGGCGAAATTGAATTGATTCTGCCAGACGTCACGCTCCCGGGAATCACGAATGGCATTCCCGTTCCCCTGCTGCAAGCGATCGATAACACGTTTGGGGAACTCGAAATTGCGCTCTGCGATCTCACCTACTACCTGAGATGGTCGAATATCAGCACTAAGAGAAATAACAACAAGCTGTTTATCGATAATAGCTGCCACCTGTTGACCGACGGTTATTATAATGTCTGTATGCTGGACGACGAAATTTTTAAACCCGTCGGAGCCAGTCTTAAACTCAATGAGTCTGATGGCACGCTCAAGCTGACGAATGAAGACCAACCCATCAAACTGGGCCAACCCTTGGCGAGAACACTCGGGTTGACAACTTACGAGATAGCACCTCGAGACACCATCACGGGCCGAAATTGCCGAGCCTTGTCCCCTAGCGCGAACTGTGCATTCACCTCGATCAGCTGAGCACAAATGGACAACGTTCAAGGCGAATGACCTTCCACGCTTCTGAGAGCTGTGTCAGTGAAAATGGAAAAGTACAACGACAACAGAACTGAATCGTTTTCGACCTTGCAGTACAAAAAATTAACGCGAGGCAACACCACGGAATTGAGACTATCAGTTTTAGATATAAAAAATAAACCCGTTCATATAGGATAACTCAGCGCGACGCTGCACGTCAAACAACGATGACTGAAGCTTCAGGTCCAGGAATGAGACCGAGAAAATGCGCCAACTTAGCGATCTCCAACCTCAGGGACACGCGCGGTTTCGACGAGCCTGGCGTCGATGGCAGACTGTACGCCTTGCAACTCAAAAACAACATTTACAACCATGTCTAAGTGAGCGGTGGAGATTTAGACGATGTCGAGACCAGAGGTATCTTAAAAAACATGCAGTACAATCTCGTTCGCAACGCCAATAACACATGGGTGATGGTTCCAGCCTTCGGCGGCAAACTCTTCGACCTGGACGACGGTGAGAAGACGGTCCTCGCTCAAACACGCCGTGTACACGCCTGTGTTTACTAACGACAACCGATGGGTGTTCGTACCCTCTCGAATCGACTGGAATCTCAACATCGCACTAGACTCTCCCCAGGACTGACCCCCGACCTGCGCGTGCCCACGTGACAGATCTCTCCTCCTGCAAGGAGGACTGACCTTTACACCTCGACTTGCAAAGGTGTTTTCATCTCTACCCCGACTCGAACTGCAAACGCTCTAACCATCACACTGGCGAGCCGGCTGATACTTCAATGTTTGGAACTTTGGGTCTAGGCTGGAGGCACATCGAAGGATGCCTCTTGCTATACCAGCGCTGTTTTTAAGAGGGGCAGGGGAACTTATTTCATAATAATAAGCCTCTAAGCTGCATCTGCGGCAAAACCCGCCCTCTACTACTACTGCGTGATGTGCAAATTGGATTACAAAAAACAGTACCACAGAGCCGTGAATGCTATTGATGGCATAAACACTGTACTCGTAGCAGCCAGCATGGGGCTCGGCGTGGCCTGTGTCAGTTTATTGTCAACGATCATCTCCACACCAATAGTGCTTGGTATGAAAGGCTGGAGTCTCGGGGTTAGCAATATTGCAAAAGAAGGCTTTGAAACACAATAACATTCATGTTCTTGCTGAAGCGAAGTTGAATACGATATCCAATAGTAAGATAACTGAAGAAGAGTTTTGTTTAGTGCTGTTGGAACTCACCAATTACAACGTGATGAAACAAGAGATTCAAACCAAGTCTCATAAAACCAATGGTATCAGTGAAGAAGAGAAAAAAAAGTTTATAGCACAGGGGAGAGAACAAGCACGTCAAGCATTCCCTGCCAAAACCAAAGAAAAGGAGATTAACGACGAATTATTTCCTCGATGTCAATGTTTATTCATATATTTTTTTAAATTAAAATTACATAAAATTTTAAAACATAATGTAAACAAAATAAATAAAAAAATTAAAAATATAAAAAAAATTATATATAAAATATTATAAAAAACAAAAAATATCACCCTCAGTGGGGCTAACGATGTCCCACACTCAGGGTGTTCTTTTTTAGTAGCTTATGGGAGCCGAATTGCGCAGAGGGGAAGTGATCCAAAAAAACCATCATCACACTACTTGGGCCATATAGAAAACTTATGAAGGTTTTCAAACAACAATGCTGTGACATCACAGCCAAGGAAGATAATCATGTAACTTCATAGGTATATCACTAGGGATAACTATGACTTTTCAAAATATAAATATGAATTCCCACCTTCTCCGGGCTTAGCTCTTGTTGTTGAGTCTTTTCTGAAACCCCCACTTGATCGAAGGAATGTGCTTGGTACCCAGCCTTGCTGATTTTCAGTACTGACAAACCACCACCCTGAAACAATGAATCACATTTTTAACAATAGGTACAACTTTAACCATCTACATGTCCAATTTATTTAAGAAGACAATATATCACACAACAATTTGATACTGGAGCCATTGCAGGTTGGTGACATTTGTGGAAGTGAAAGTGATAGAATGGTTACTCTTCATATCATTCTCTACAAATTGAAAGTGATAGAATGGTTACTCTTCATATCATTCTCTACAAATTGAAAGTGATAGAATGGTTACTCTTCATATCATTCTCTACAAATTGAAAGCAATAGAATGGTTAGTCTTCATATGATTATCTACAAAGTGAAAGCGATAGAATGGATACTCTTCATATCATTATTTACAAATTGAAAGTGATAGAATGGTTGCTCTTCATATGATTGTCTACAAACAAAGTGATACAATGGATACTCTTCATATCGTTATCTACAAATTGAAAGTGATAGAATGGTTACTCTTCATATCATTCTCTACAAATTGAAAGCAATAGAATGGTTAGTCTTCATATGATTATCTACAAAGTGAAAGCGATAGAATGGATACTCTTCATATCATTATCTACAAATTGAAAGTGATAGAATGGTTGCTCTTCATATGATTATCTACAAAGTGATAGAATGGATACTCTTCATATCATTATTTACAAATTGAAAGTGATAGAATGGTTGCTCTTCATATGATTGTCTACAAACAAAGTGATACAATGGATACTCTTCATATCGTTATCTACAAATTGAAAGTGATAGAATGGTTGCTCTTCATATGATTATCTACAAACAAAGTGATACAATGGATACTCTTCATTTGATTATCTACAAACAAAGTGATAGAATGGATACTCTCCATATCATTATCTACAATACTGTGTCCAAGTTTCGTACTGGCATCTAGCAAACTGATTATTTCTTCCACATATCTTTTTAAAGCATACTTAATAGCAACAAGAAGACATGGTCATCAATATCCCCTGCCACAGTGTTCTGTTTCTATTCTGTTACTGTTTAAAACCTCCACCATGACATTCATGTCTTGAAAACACATACCTCATTTGGTTTCCCTGTCTATAATGGTAACTGAGAAAATCTGTTCCCAATGGGGTTAACGTCAAGTCAAGAAACACATGACAAGGGCCATAACTCTGTAAAGAATTGTAACACTGTTTCCATTTTCGAACTCCATCAAAGCATTTGTGTCCTGAAAACACAAATCTGTCCCTATCATCTTGGATGGACAGACGGACAGACAGAGCTCAAACCTATATCAAATGATCACCTTGTCTGACAAACCTTAGATATTTTGAAAATGAGTATCCAAAGGAATGAAGTAGTACATGATTGAATTTCAGAGTAAATGGTGTTTATCCATCTTCTAAGTGAACTCCAAAAGAGTATCCTTCTGGAATCTTGTGTAAAAGATACAGATCCTTATTGAGATGAAGAAGAAATTGTGCAACAACTGTTTTAAGATCATGCGTTGTCCGAGAACAGACTCTACACTATTGGAATCATTTAAAGTCATTCGAGAAAGACATTGAAAGAAAGACTGACTGCGTAAGAGCTGAGTAAACTTCTCGTGAAAAACCGGATGATGCGCAGTGTTGTTGGATAGTTTCCTGGCTAGCTATTCTCGAAACTTCTTAAGTCCTACAAACTTCTTAAGCCCATTCTTAACACATTGGCTACAATCAAAATTAAGAATTCTTAGGTCTACGAACATTTCGAGAATAAGGGCCCAGATGTGTAAGTGAAGCTGTTCCAAGTTGCAGATGGAATCTGTCTGACTTCAGTTGCCTCAGTAGTGCTGACCAGAATGTTCAAAAAACTAGGCGCCATGTTGGTGCAACAATGGTGCAGGTTGCCTAATGTTGTGTTCACGGGTGTTAGGCTGTCAACAAGAACACGCCGACTTGTTGTTGTGAATGTGACAGGGGGAAATACTGAACAAGCTCCATTACAGATGGCTTAACCCTGTGAAATCGTGCTACTGCTACCCCATCGTGCTACTGCTGCTGTGGAGGGAGAAGCAAGCATACCTGAATGACTAATCCTATTTAGTGTATGCTCATTACTTCCATACACCAGATTCATCCACTGATAACACACTTTGTTCTACATGTGTATGTTTGGGACATAGAGTGACACATTTGCAATTCTTTTTTATTTCAGTATATGAGGTTCTGTTCCTCCTCTTGGGATTATAATGATCAAACACATTCAATAGAGACGTGATCAAGAAACCACGAACAGTGTATAAAAAACTGTCCTGATGCACTTTTGAGCCCTTCCTTGCTTCAGACAGCCTCATACACTTTATCCATGCTTTTTGATGAATATTGCTGGATCTGATGGAGTCCTCAAATCATTATAAAAACTATCATAACATTGACATAAAACGTCATGAACCACAGAAAGTACAAAAGAAATAAGGGATGGCCCCACTGACTTGCCATACAGTATATTTTTTAGCAAGAGTATTACATGATGGGGATCTTGAGGTGTTGGGACAGCCTATTGTTATGAGAGTGCGAGTAGTAGTACAATGGGGGTTCTGCATCACATGCGGCTTAGAGGCTTATTTATGGGACTTAAGCCCCCCAGCCCCCCTTAAAAACGGCGAGGGTGTAGCGCGAGGCATCCTCTGATGTGCCTCCAGCCTAGACCCAAAGTTCCGAAAATTAACTCATTGGGAGTCCTGGTGGTGTGATGGTAGACAGTAGGACTTGAGTTCGAGACAGGGTATCGGAGGAAACTTTTGCAAGTGAAACAAGCACCGTCATCCAGCCTTGTAACGGTGGTCCTGCCAGGTCCGTCGTTGCTAAGTGAAACAAGATGGTGGTCGAGCCTAGTAACGGCGAGCAGACCGATCGCGGCGTTGCTAAGTGAAACAAGATGGTGGTCGAGCCTAGTAACGGCGAGTAATCGTAGGGTTGCAGGCTGGTTGTAGCACCAGGGATGTTTGAAACCAGTTTATAGCTGAAAACAATTTTTTAGAAGCCACAATCAAGTGCCCATGAGACCTAAACTATCGTACAGGCTGGTGAATTTCCCTCAACTTATGACTCGACGCAGGGCGGCGTAAATATCGAGGTCATGGACGTCCACCCTGTTGCGTCTGAACAACCGTTTCTCGATCAATCTCCACATGTATGAGAAACATAAGACGAATCTTTAATAAGGGGGCAATACCGTGTCATGACGGACGATTTGTAATTCCTCTCGGACGAATCCCCTACCCGGTCCTTCTTGCAAGTAGTACAAATTCGATTCGTCGTCTTTGATGTCCACTCAGTCGATGTGGTACGTTTTCATGGACCATACGGGGTCTGTGGCGCGACGTTTGTCCCCTCCTTCGAGTTCACCGGGCTGGTAAAGATACCTCCCAACGACCCGGTCCGGTAGTTTTTTCTCTTGACCGTGATGCGATAGCGTAGCCAATTCAGTCGTCACGGATTTCATTTGAATGGTTTCGACGGATCTTTTATCGAGTAGTCGAGTGACTTCGTTGTTGTACGCCAACACCACTCGCGGTAAGCGTACCACCCATTCCGTCGATCGTTTTCTGGGTTGACCATCTCTCGGGCATACTGATGTCCGAACAAACGCTTGGCTAAAGTCCTGTTGAATCTTTCGACGATGGCTTGGCTTCGGGTGAGCCCCGTCTCACCTGGACTTCGATATTTCGATGCTTCAATAACAGCTGCGACACGGCTCCCATGAACTCGACTTGTAATTCGGTCGGCCAGGTCAAGCTACTGTGTTTCTACATACGTTGCCTTAACGATTTGACTCGAATCTTTGGTCGTTAACGGCTCGGCTTCCTTGTAGCGACTGGCAACGTCCACGACGGTCAGGGCGTACTTGTACGTTTTATTTCTCACCCTGTCGTGTGGGAGAAACAGGAGGTCAGCTTGATGGGTACGATTGGGTACGGAAATGTCAAACTTTCTACTCGGGATGTATCGGGGAGCCGGCAGGTACACTTGCCAGATGGCTTGTGTTTTAAGCCAAGCTTTGGCGGTATTCTCGGAGATGCGAGCGGCTTTGGCTAGCTTTGGGATGGCACCCACGCCTTTCCAGTAACCCCGGGGGCTGTAGTAAACCTTCTCCATGATGTATACACGCTATTATCCATTCAATAGTCTGTCTAGACTTGGACACACCGAGTGGAGTTTCCTTTATTGGGGGTCTCGGAAACTCCCAACGCGTCGAGGACTAGACAGACTGTTGGTATCCATAGGCATAAGTGTGGATACCATTGTTCGCAATCCACCGTTTGGTATCCATGGGCGACAGTGACGTCTTGTTGAGAGTGATGCCGTAGATGGTGTGTTTGTCGCTTCTCAACTCGTTCATGGGGTGTTTGAACATGAGTTTATCAAAGAGAGCCAGTTTGATGAATTGTTTCACCACGTATTTCTTGACCCCTTTCGCCTTTCGGATCTCGCCATTGTCGGCTTTCAGGATGGAATAGATCTTGGGTCTCAATCCGATGTATTCGCGATGGGTGTTCCTGCACATTCGTCCTTCATCTTGCCGAGGACCTTTTTATTGGTCATGCTGTGTAGGGCATGGGCTGGGGTGTAATCGATGGTGTCGTACAAGTGGCTGTGTTTCGCCATGTCCTCGTACACGTACTCGGTGCGTATATTCAACAACAAGGAATCGGTGTCCGTGTACAGCAGCTCGCATCAATCGCCATACTGTGGTTTGAGTCGGCTGTAGTAGAAAATCGTACGAGATGTTTGGATAAGTTGAGAATGCTGATCCCCACGTAGACGGGTCGGTTGAGTTTGATGTGGTTTTTGTTCATGTGCAACGCTGCCAAGTCGTTATCGAATAGCTTGCTCCCGGTTGAATGCCGGACTGGCGATCAGTTTCTTGAGTTTTTCTTCCTCGTGAGATCGCAGAGTTTGACCGTCACCCGTTTTCTCAAGTTTTCCATGGTTTTGTCGAACACCGAATTGTTCATCAGTTTGTAGAGGTTTTTCTCGAAGTC